GCCCATACCACCGACGGAGTCCCAGAGGAAGTCGCGAACTACCGATCACTGTTCACAGTCGCGAATAGTTTCTCTCCGTTCGCAGACTTACTCATCGGATGTCAATATGTGTCCAAGAAAGAAGCGAGGGGGTGAAGAATCATCATCTTCGTCATCAAAGAACTCTCACAGTTCGCTACCTTCTTCTAAAGTCGCTTCTCGGAAGTCAGCAAGTACAAAGAAGGAGGAATTACCTCTATTCTACGAGCATGAAGCGTACGAATGGATAGAGAGAATGTAAAGATATTTTCGAGTCCAAGCTATTGCAGAAAGATTTAAGGTGGATGTAGCAGCAAAGGCAATGGGGGAAGCCGCAGATGTCTGGTTTCAATGGTGGGATTTTCAAAAGAGAGAAGATAGTTGGTAGGCTCTAAAAGAAGAATTGATTAAGGATTTTCCACCTAGACACCGGCAGAAGACAGGGAAGACAGCAAGACGGGAGTCATCGAGATCTACAAGAACTTCCTACAGTTTGCAAAAGTCATCACCAACATCATCCTTCAGTTCGCAGGCTTCAATTGCTACTACCAGTTTACTTAAGAAGCAATCCAGATGTGAAGTTTCCAGTTCGCAATCCGGAACTGTTTCTGTTAGACCTGCAGCAACTTGTCTCAGTCCACAAGAAAATTCGGAAGGAATGGAAAATGTGGATTCAGATTTAAACTCATCTCCAAAGGATGTTTTGATTGAAGAAGTAAGTCTAACTCTTGGACTAGAAGACATGACACACCAAGTGAAAAAAATTGATGTCAGGAGAGGGGGTAGTCCTAAGGCTTCATCTGGAGAGTTCAGAATAGCAGATTTCTTAAATGACAAGGCAGTGGGAAATTTGGTGGAACAAAATAGTGAAACCAAAGGAAAGGTGAAATTGATACTTAATTTGGAAATGGCCATGTCTTTTTTGGGTGGTAGATCTGATTACCTGCTAGGACACCAACTTTGGAAATTGTACTTGGAAAATAATTTTTTTTGTTCCTTAGTTAAGAGAATTGCAGCGGGAAGAGTATATCAGTTTACTTGCTTGCTAAAACCTTTTAGACTTTCCTTTTCAAATGAGGTAGGTAAGGAATTAAAAGAGGAAAAAGTTGATAGGAACAAAAATGATTTTGCAGCCAATACTGTACTAGTCTCAGAAGATAGAAACTATGAGGAGCTGCAGAATAGTAATGAATTAATTTCTGCTATGGAAGGCTGGAAGAAGGCTGAACCAAATGAAACTGTTACCTATGCTGTCTTGAAATTGAATCCAAATGCTTTGTCTTCTGGCTTGAGTTCTTGGTCCAATTTTCGGGAAGAAAAGGCTCCTTATTACTCAGGTTGGAGTAAGAATGCATACCAAGATGGTGGATATTGCTATGTGATGGTGGGCAATGATCAATGTATCTCAAGAGTTTCATATCTGAGTTGTTCTATTAGAAAGGGGTTGGGAGTAGGATTGACTGAGAGTGATATGATAAAGGTTAGAGAAATGCCAGTGGTCTGCTTACTTGTTCCAGATGGGGGTGGAGTTGGTGACTACCAGTTTCAGTTGGCTACTGTGAATGCTGCAATATCAAGGAATGAAGCAACTGAAACTCAAGGGTTTGAGTTATATCCTGTAGTAAGAGCTATTAGCAGGTGGAAGAATGAGCAAGGGATAATGGGTGAAGATCAGTACCAGCAAGATCAAAGACACAGGACTAATATTGATGATTGGAAGGAAGAGGATCTAATGCTGTTTTTGCAAGAAGCAGTGAGAAGGAAGATTCAAGTCATGGAGTTCAGGATCCTGAAATTTGAAAGATATTGGGAAGAGGTACAAGGAAGAAGAAAAAGGAGAAGATTTTAGTTGTCTCCTACCGACCACCTTGAGGGCAAGGTGAATGTTTAGGGGGGGAGTATTGATAGGGACCTACCTATTAGACTAATAATAGAAGTAATAATAATAATATTAGTAATAAGGGTCTCTATTATAAATAGACGGGAAGGGGGAGTAGTAAGGAAGGCTTTTAGACGGTTAGTCTTGGGAGGACTGGGAAGATCGAGTTTATCTCGTTCTTTGGGGGGCTTCAGCCTGGTTACTGTACTGTTCTTGATTCAATAAAAGTTTTCACCTGTTTCTTCTTAATCTTTCTGTAATTTGTTCTGGAATCTTGGGGGTTCCTAACACTCAGGAATGGCTGATTGAATTGCACGAGTTTTAGTCAACAATGTGTTGTAGGGAATGGACTTGGCAGCTAGTATCCCCATAGCAACATTTTTGCGAGAAAGGGCGTAGGCAATAGTGTTGAAACGGCTCGGTTTGTATTCCACTCGGGAGAAGAACCCATGAGCTTATGTTTCAGTGTTGTTGGGGAGAGGTCGTAAGCTGTTGATCCGACAAATACTTCAAACCTGTGAGATTGGTGCAAATAAGAAACTCTTGTCCCCATAAATATGGGTGCCAATGGACCACTGCCATGGCGAGATCTATTAGCTCTCGTTCATAAGCTGCTGGTTTGACATGACGTTCAATGAATTTCTGACTAAAGTATGCAATCAGGTGGAATAATAATGAATAATAATAATAATGATAATGACAATAATAATAATGAGTAATAATAATAATAATGATAATAATAATAATAATGAGCTTCTTCTTTCCGTATCATTACTCCCCTCTTGAACATCAAGCTTGTCCTCAAGCTTGAAGCTAATAACTCATGACAACCGGTCTTCCACGAGCAAGCGGCATTATTATATGATCAACCATCACCATGTTGGTTGTAGCCACATGACTATTAGTAATGGCCCAATGTCCCAATATCTGGCCAGATTCATCAGAATTTCCTCTTGCTAGGAAGGTCCATATTATTTCTTGCATCTTGGTTGTGGGCAGCAAATATGGAGGAGGGAAGGATGAAGGTGCCAACACTGGTGGTTTCAGCTCCACGGGTGACAGCAAGAATGTTGTTGACAGTAATAGATTGCCTTGTTGCGAACAAACTTGCTCTGTTGGCAGTGACAAAATTGGTGGTGGTGTGGATAAAAATGACTGCTTATCCAACAATGGTTGTGGGAACAATGGAGATGTTGATGACCGCACAGGAAAAAGTTGACATTTTGATGAAGGAGCTTTCGGCAATGTCGCCACCGGGGTTGTTGTTGGTGAAGATAGAGAATCATATTGTGATTGTTGCCTTCGCTCAATAGCTTTTGCTAAACTGATTGCCACATCCACGCTGCCAGGATATTGACATTCCAATGCAAGACGAATGTGAAGGATCTTGAAGTCCTGCTACAAAGAAGTTCACTTGAGTCTGTGAAGGTAAGCCCTCTGTGCATGCCAATAAAGTAATAAACACTGAAACTGGCTAATATACTCATCTAGAGTACCTATTTGCTGAAGTTGGGATAATTCATCTTCCGGTGACGGAACCTCGTAACATATCCTCATAGAACAACAACTATGAAAATCATGTTTGGAATAGCGGGACACAATGTTATTTGCGCTATGGACTTGATGGTGGTGTTCCTGAAACTCCCTATTCTCACCCTGGGATCCGGAGGGGCTGTTGCTATTGGAGTCCGTGTGTGGACCTGCAGATTTACAGTCAGGGCAGCAAGCTGTGCGGAAAAATGTGTCACGAAATCTGTAATTTTTGCCTCAAGCGATCCTTGTCACTGGTTAATATCTACCATGAAGGTTGTGAATATCTCTTTGGTGACGTCATCGTTCCCCATCGTCGTGGATACTGATACCAAATTGTTACGAGCGTGGCCGGGAGATAAAAAAGAAGAATGATAAGTATGATAGTTGGAAAATCAACCCAGCTTCCCGCCCTAGGCAAGGAAGTGTCCGTCAGTTCCACCGAATGCACAAGTAGAATTATTCTCCAGAAGATTCATGATTTTATTCATTAATATGGCACCTCTATTTATACTAGTCCCAAGAGTCTTGGTGGTCTAGTATTAGAGTAACCCTAATTCTATTACAATACTTTTATTAGGAAATTAACTAGAATAGAATATCTCTACTAATAGGAAACTGCAACTAATAATAATCTTAGGAAGCTCACACCTAATATTTTAGGAAACTTACTTTAGGAAACTAATTATAACCTTAGAAAACTAACACCCAATACTTTAGGAAACTAATAATAACCTTAGAAAACTAACACCCAATACTTTAGGAAACTTACTTTAGGAAACAAATAATAATGAATGATGATGATGATGATGATAATGATAATAATAACATAGAATTCTGCCACAAATTGATGGCCAGCCACCTCAAACTCCCAACGAGGCCATAAATTGATGTCCAGCCACCTCAAACTCCAAACGAGCGCAAGAAATTGTGAATAAATTGAATAAGTACCAAATAATGCTGATTCGTTGGTAACTTTAAAATGAGCAACTTAAAAGCTACTTATTCAATTATTCTACTTAGTCTAATGATAAGAAAAATTAGCAGATGGGCGAATTATGATTACCAAACTGGGTTTAAGCAATATTGATCACTTATAAGAGTTGCACTTTAACAAAATAAGACTCTCTTTTGGTAAATGCCCTTCAATGTATGACAATTAGAGTTGTAAATGAATCAAATATAAATATTTTATGCTCAATTCATGATTCGAATTCATTATGACTATTTGAATTCGAAAAAATCAAATAAGAAATGTGTTTCTATGGTATTTGATTATTTGTTTATTTTAAATCTAATTAGAATTACATATTTATGCTATGTATAATAATATATATTATAATTAGGATAAAATATATAATGATGTATTCAAATATGAATATTCAAATATAAGCAAATATATTTGAATAAATAATCAAATAAAATATGAATACTCTTATGAGTTCGAATTCTAAACAAATATAAATTCTAAAAAGTTATCATATTCAAATCTAATAGATAGATATTTGATTCGATTCATTTACAACCCTAATGGCAATATGCTCTTTCTCATGATATCTGATAAAATTCTCAGGTCAAGGAAAATGGTTTGGAGGACACTGTGACGACAGTTGAAGAAATACGTACTGGGACCGAATCCAGGGGAACAGGTAACCTGCTCTTGCAAGTAAACGAAAATGAATGGGAGTAATATGACAAAATGGTATCATCATCATCATTATCATGATTATTATTGTTGTTATTATTATTAATTACTCAAAGTTGTCTTCTTGCATTGACTTCGCGTACTTATTAAGGAAGTATGAAATTTTGTAGATCAGGTTTATTTAGAAACATTTGAAACAATATTAATTAAACAACTCTCTTCTTAGAAGAAAGTGAGAAGAATTTTTATGGAAAACTATCAAATATGTCCTCGTACTACATCAAAAATGTCAATTGAGTTCTCATACTATAGAATCACCCCACCAAACCCCTCAACTATAAAATAACCCAATTGAGTTTTCAGCCAGTGACCAACTGGTTAGCGTGTTATCCCGATGATATGGAAGAGTGTGCGGCATAATTTTTCCAGACTAGCAGTTTATCTTCAGATATACTCCAACGATTTTTCCAGGTTGGCCATCTCCGAGAACTAATGAAGGTGGTTCCTGTGACCCTGATAAAGAAGGGTATAGCTTGTCATGTAAGCCCATTCAAGGATGGAAATCTTTTGAGGGGTTCAAACGACTGCAAATTTTGCTTATGGAATATATCTGCCTCACCTAATGATAAGGTGCCAACGAAGATTTCATCTATTATGCACATCAAAGCGTGGTTGAATATGTCTCATGGCATTTAAAGAATGAAAACATGTTTGGGTAATGTGGTTGGGTAATTGGGTCGGTTGGAATAAAGTGTGACGGCAGATCATATCAGACCGGTTCCCGTCAATGCCATATGATCATCCATCATCATTCATTCATCATCATTACCCCAGTGCCGCAAAGGCTCCCACCTACGGTGGGGTAAGGGGGGTTGCATGTACGTAGTCTTACCCCTGTACTAAAGCACAGAAAAACTGTTTGCGGATGACCCGTAGTGAAAATCACATCAAAATTGCATGGACTGACTGTTGCTTCATAACAAAGAAGTGCAGACAGTTTAGTGAGCCATTTTGCTTTATTCCATATTTCCAACCCAAAAAATAGTGAGTCAATGCCATATGATATGCCATTTATATAAATCATTGTTAATAATAATTAAGTCTTCTCATTTCAAAAATATATATGTATATATATTCCATATATATGCTTCCGTTGCTTGCTCCGCGAGGGAATAGAGTCACAGAATTAAGAATGAATTAAAATAAAAAGAAAGAGTTTAGAAGAGAAATATAAAAGAGCAAAAGGAGAGGAAACTATTCAGATTCTTCCAGCCCTCCACACCAAAATGATGGGTGTATGTAGAAGAACGGTAAGTTAACCGTGACTCATATTTCTTCCGGCCCAAGAAGAAAGGATGAATAGCAGTCCAGATTTCTTCCAATTACAAAATTAAAAATATTAGAATACGACATAGAAATAATCAACGCCACACCAGCTAGGTTACAAGCTAACCTTTTCGTGACCGGGTATAAAGCTCGATTGGGTGTTAATTATAGTTGAGGGATTTGATTGGGTGATTCTATAATATAAGGACTCAATTAACATTTTTTATATATAGTATAAGAGTCTATTTGATAGTTTTCCCAAACTTTTATGATGGCCCAAAAACAAAAAAAGAAGAAGAAAATTTTAGGTTGGGAGAGTATTATCTACTTCACTCATGTAACTAACAAAAGATCTCTTGGTGGTTTGTGTCTTGTGTTACCCTCCATATGTATTTGTTTATTTGCTCAGAGCTTCATGGGCTGGACCGAACAGTTCTTATGCGAGCATTGAAGTTGCTAGAGAACAAGGGAAGGCTTGCAATATTCAAGGGAACTTCTGCGGACGATGAGGGCGTCAAATTTTCATCATGACAAATCTCCTTCCACTTCATACTGTCTATTCTACATTGGTCGTTCGCTTTATTTTGGGTATTTTGGTGCGATTGAGGAAAAACAAATTACTATCCCTTTGGAAGCAGTATTATTTGCCTCTTTTTCGTAAGCTACTCAATCAAAGATTTACTCATCTGGTTGAATACATGGTATATAAATTCTACTTGAATAAATTTACATGGCTTTAAATTTGAGTATTTTAAATGATTGAGAATTTAAACTTGGCCTTGAATATGAGTACGTAACCCCATTGTTGCGCACAAAGTTAAGAGAAAAATGTCTTAAGAAAGGAAAACTATTAAATAGCCCCTCATAGTATATCGAAAAAGTCAATTAAACTCTGGAACTTCTTTGCCCACCTTTCTTCTTCAACATCACAACCTGCACTCATCATTTCATCAAACCACCCGTTTCATTTCTATTTCCTTTTCTTTCATTCCCCCCTTCTTCCACCCACTCGGCTCCCAATAGATAATCTCTAACGTGAAGAACTAGTGGATCTTCACCGGCCGTCTTTATAGTGCCGACATCATCAACCGGAGGTTTAGTGAATATGTTCGTGTTCCGCCTCTTCACTACCCGCCACCACTGCGTCTGTGGCTTCACCAATTGCCGCCGCCGTCCAGATACAAACTCCATGGTCCCGACCGGTGACTCGCCATTAGTACCTAGTCACCTGGACCTCCATTAATGGAGTTACCATGTAGCCAAGAAGATGCATCTCAATTTCCAGGATTGAAAATCGAGGGGCACCAAGTAGAAGAAGACGGCTGTAATAAGGAGTCCACCGGGAATGATGAGATGATGGCATCGCCACTTGCCCGCCGCCGCCGTCGCCACTTGCCACTTGCACATGAAAGGGAAAATGACGGAAAAAGAAAAGAAAAAGAAAAAGGAGGATGAGAGAATAAAACAAAATTGGAAAAGAAAGGGGAAATCCACGTGGGTGTTTTAACCGGTTAGTCAGACGTTTACTGACTAAATTACATATTTGAATCTTTTTTTTTTTAAAGTACAAGGGTCTAATTGACTTTTTCAATATACTATGAGGGCATATTTGACTGTTTTCCCTCTTAAGAATATAGAGTGACTTGCCTCTTTGATTAAGATTGCTTTTTATTGGACTGATATGTTTAAGTCTGGTATGTGTGAATTTTAATATTGCCTAGATCTGATCATCTTAGGTTAGGTCATATGTGTATAAGTTTAATACATGTTGTCCCAGTTTCAATCTCAGTCCCTGTCCGGTCTCGGTTCCAGTCTCTGACCAGTTGGTCCCAGTTTCAAAAACTAGGAGGCCCGGATTTAACCCGAGTATTATGGGTCCCAGTCTGGTCCTGGGTACCCTGCCAGTCTAGGGTCCGATCTCGAGACAGTTCGAGCATTTTTTAGTTATTTAATAGTATTATTATTATTATTATTATTATTATTATTTATTATATTATTAATATAAACAATAAATTCTACACATTAAAAATAAAATGTAGATTTATTTGAAACATTAGATTGACTTATAAATTTATAAATAGCAATAGAGAATAGTTACATAAATTTCCTAATCTTCAAAACTCCCGCGTTCAGCGTCGGTTATTGTTTCCTCCATGAAGTGGCAGAGCGATGCTATGTTAATTTCTTGAGTTTTATGGTGGGCCTTCAACCACTCATGAAAGCAAATGAGTGTATCAAGAGGTTCCACGTTCAACCTCGTTCTATAATCGGTCAGGATGTTATCAGTTTCACTAAACTTTTGTTCCACGACAACCGTTGAAACTGGGATTGGCAGGACTTGTTTTGCCATTATTGATAAAATCGGAAACGTTTTTTGTTTGTCATCCTCTTCATTTGAGACGTTAGATATAAAGAGAGCTTTATCTAATGATTGATATAATCCACCATTTGAGAATGTTAAACTCTTCCTCTTCTTCATACTCACATGGAAACATTATATATTAAGAAAGCTCGTTAATCAAACTTTGTGAAACGGTAGGAGTAGATTTTTTTTTTATAGAAAAGATTAGATATTGTAGATTTAAAAAGATATTTTCCTTTAGATGAGAAGTAACTTGTTTCGGGGGAGGGGTACATTACCATATTGTGCATTAAACTCATTAAATAAATTATGAAATATGTTACTAACCTCGTTGAGTTGCACTTGAACATTTATAGAGTTGCCATCGTACATAGACAAATCATCGTAGCAACAATTATAACACAATACGAAATGCTTTAAATTTGAAGTATACATAATATATATAATTATTTGTATAAATAAGTAATTGATAAAAATGTATGTATAGAACAATACAAAATATTCAGAAAACCCCTACTCTTCGGAGTTGTCGCTTCCTCCATTTTTTGGATGAAATGTAAATATATGTAGAATCATCCAAGAATGTTTATGTACATCGTATGAACAAAAATCAAAACTATAGAGATCCTAAGCTAGAATGCCCTATCACCTCAAAACCAAAGTAGATAGCTAGCACTCTGGCCAAACCACATGCAAGCCATCACAAAAATAGGTGACAAGTTAGCAAAATAGGTCCTTAGAAGGTTATCATATAGTACGGATACATAGAATAAAGCACTTTGTACACCATATACTTTATATAGTTAAGCATATCCTCGGCATTGACCTTGGCAGCATCGAAATAAATGGAATTCCTTGTTCTGCACATCCAGTAGATGCCTAGATGGTATAGCAGAAGGAGATCCTCACAACTTTGGCCTTTATGTGTGCTCCATTATGGTCCCTCTTGATCCACTTCACCGCACTTCTCAAAGTTGTCATTTGTCTTGTGATGCCTAGCCATGCCTTTACCTTGGTCCAAACCTGTCCTGTAATATGACTCTCAATATATAGGTGTGATACCGTTTCTGGTTCACCCTTACAAAAAGGACATAGGTTAATCAAATCAAGATATCCCAAGTTATCATACGTGGCTAGCCTATTAAGGAAGGCTAGCCAAGCGATGAAAGAATATTTGGGAGGTATATACGCCTTCCATATGAAGGACATCCACGAATGTGGGGTGCCCTTTATCCTTAACAAATCATATATCTTAGATGATGATAATCTCTCATGAATGGCAATCTTACCAAGATATTCTAACGTCTCATTTAAAGGAGAATTTTGAGATAATCTAATCACGAATCAAAACAAGTCTTTTTATCAACAAAGAGTCCCTATTGTGTGGAATAAAAGTCCACACATCCCTACCATGGAGGTACACTCCACGAACCCACCTAACCCACAATGAGTTTTGTTTGGAGTGTATATTCCATAACGTTCGGGATAAGAGGGAATTATTCCACACCTTGGCATCCTGTAAACCCAAACCCCCATCTTCTTTAGGCAAGCAAGCATCATCCCATGCCACCTTTGCATGTTTACCCCCCCCCCCCCCCCCCCCAACAAAAAAAAGGAAAATCCTACATATACCCACAATACGATCAAGTATGGCCCTAGGGATCGAAAAGATGCCAAGCCAAAAAAGTGTACAACCTGCATGACTAATCTAATCAACTCCACTTTACTGCATAAGATAGTGAATTTGAGTTCCACGCATAAATATAATCTGTGATTTTGTCCAACAAATGAGCAAACTGTGCCACAGATATCTTTAAGGGCGCAAGTAGAATACCCAAGTACATAACATGAAAGGATCTTTGTTGAAAGTCTACCATATGAAGTATGTAAGCCAACTGATTAGCTACATTCCCACCTAAGAAGATATTGGATTTATCATGGTTAACCATAAGTCCGGAGACTTGGCCACAGTCTTTCAAAGCTTCTACCAATATCTTAATAGAGGTATAATTACCCTTGGAAAACAACATCAAGTCATCAGCATATGCTAAATGTGATATTTTAACTTTAGAGCACAATGGATGATGGCTAAACAAAGGATTAGAAGTCCTAAGGTCCAGCATCTGTGAGAGATACTCTAAACAGATAACAAACAACATGGGGGACATATGATCCCCTATCTAAGACCCCTCTTTCCCTCAAACCATCCATGGAAGACATCATTAATGAAGATTGAAAAAGAAGAGGTGGTAACACATTCCATAATCCAATGGACAAACAAGCCAGGTAATCCTATTGGTTTAAGTACCCTATCCAAGAATTCCCAAGACACAGTGTCATAGGCTTTTCTAAGATCTATTTTGATCATGCATCTAGGTGTGACCCTCTTTCTAGCCCTCACTATTTCCTGTGCTAAGAAGATGTTGTCAGACATCAATCTACCATCCACAAAAGCTCCATGTGCAGGGTTAATACTACCCAAGAGGCAAGGGCCAAGCCGAGATGCAAGAATCTTGGTGATAGAGTATATGGGCCTGGACCCCATGGCCCACATACTCAAGTCAACTACGGCCAGAAGAACACCCACGTGGCCCCCTTCGGCCCGTGGGGCCCGCATCGGCCAGAAACTCAACCGGGTCTGGAAGCACACACTGGACTTCTGAGGCCGCATCGGCCCATGGACCGCATCGGCCATGGGACCGCATCGGCCAAAAGGCGCCGCATCGGCCAGGCTTCGTCCGGGCAGAATGCTTCTCTACTTTATTTACTAAGTATTGTACTCAGCCCATTAGTGGCCCTATTTCGCCCAAAGAAGGCATGATTATTGTAATGGGCCTCCTAAGCCCATGGCTAGGAGCCCAAATCCACATTTTTACCTATAAATAGACCCCTTGGGGCTAGTTATAGGGGGTTGAGAAATATAATTGCTCACTTTCTCTCTCTAGCTCTCACTTCTCTCTAGAATTAATACTCTATCATTTTGGTGCTCTCATTGAGAGACTTAGAACAGATCAAGTGAGTACCCTTCGTCGCGGGGTATCAGCATGACAGAGAGGTCTTCATCGGCGGTGGTTGTGCCATCGCAACAATCTGCGCCTCCTTGGGCTGGAAAATCATTTGCGGATATTGTTGCCAATCGGGATGGATCACTGAATGCACAGGCCTCAAGATTCAAGGGCATGCCTGCTGTCTCTTTTCCTGATAATGATGCGATTGTGCTGGAGGATAAACACAAACGAGCCCTTGTTGGATACTTCTTCAAATCGCGTCCAAGTCTTGATATTGTTAGAAAGGTCTTTGAAATTATTGGCTTCAAAGGTAACTTTCGTTTAGGATCATTGGACCCTAAACACATTCTCATTCGTTTTGATCTGGAGGAAGATTTTATACGTTGTTGGAATAGACAATCCTGGTCTATTCACGGTAGTATCATGAGGGTGACTAAATGGTC